CGTAATGCCAAATGTAGGTATGCTGTAAGGTACATGAAGGGGAAAAGAGAAGTTCCTTTATCAAAACAGGCGGGTGATTTCCGAGTCATTTCCAATAATCCGGCAAAAAGCTGGTCCATACATAAAAGGAATGAAGAGGCGTCAGACGAGAAGGTTTAAGGTTTCATATGTCAGTATTGTAAATGGATTAACATTAATCCATATCTCGAAGAATTCCGTTTAGAATCACTGACAGCCCAATCCGGAAACGGGACAAATTACTTATTAATCAGTATTATTTAAGTCAGCTTTTGAAAAAAGCAGAAAAAATTAAAAAGATGTGTAATATTCACCAGGAGGATGAACAATTTCGATGGCTAGATTTGTTGGAAAAAATGGAGCCGACCTTTTCGGCTCAAGACCCTCTTTTAGAGTTCAATATAGGAACTGACCTGGTTCCAAAAATGGTCAGAGTAAGTGAATATTTGACTGAAGAACAACGGGTAAGGATACTTGAGGTTATTAAAAATAATATTGATTGTTTAGCCTGAGATTATTCAGAAATTCCTGGTTTGGAACGAAGTCTGATAGAGCACCGGTTGCCTATTAGAGAAGGTTTTAAATCCTACAAACAGCCCCCGAGGCGAATGAGCCCAGACTTGATGCCCCAAATCAAAGAGGAAATCCATAAACTTCTTAAGGTCGGCTTTATTCGGCCTTCTTGTTATGCAAAGTGGTTGGCAAACATTGTACCAGTGGTTAAAAAGAATGGCAAGATCAGAATATGTATTGACTTCCGGGATCTTAACTTAGCCACTCCTAAAGAAAAATATGTGATGCCTATGGCCGATATACTGATTGATTCAGCGGCAGGACATAAAATCCTCAGTCTGATGGATGGTTATGTAGGTTATAATCAAATTTTTTTGGCGGAAGAAGATATTCATAAGACAACTTTCAGGTGTTCAGGAGCTTTAGGTATTTACGAATGGACAGTCATGCCATTCGGATTAAAGAATGCTGGGGCAACCTATCAAAGGGCCATGAATTCGATTTTGCATGACCTCATTGGCAAGTCTATGGAAATTTATATTGATGATGTCACCATCAAATATGCCAGTTTCGATCACCACTTGAAAGATTTAAAAGATGCTTTCAGCCGGATGAAAAAGTACAATCTGAAAATGAATCTGACTAAATGTGGTTTTGAGATATCAGCTGGAAGTTTCTTAGGAGTTTTGGTGCATGAAAGAGGAATTAATATTGAAGCCAACAAAGCCAAAGCAATTTTAGCCATCCGACCACCCAAGTCGGTTAAGGAAGTACAGAGTCTCTTGAGTTAGGAAGGTTAAGCCGATCACTATGTTGTTAAAAGCCGGAGCGAACGACTTTGTGTGGGGGCCAGACCAGTAGACCGCATTGGATGCTATAAAGCAAGATTTGGTTCAACCTCCACTTTTAATGCCTCCTAAGGAAGGTCGGCCCCTCAAGCTTTATTTGGAAAATACGCATGAGGTAGTCAGCTGCTTACTGGGGCAGGATGTTGATGATGGTAAAGAGAGGGCAATTTATTATTTGAGTAAGACTCTTGTAGGACCAGAATTAAATTATACTATGCCAGAAAAAATGTGTTATTCATTGGTGTTCGGATGCACCAAACTATAGCACTATATGCTGCCTAGGAGAATAGAAGTTATCTCAAAGGTGGATCTTATCAACTTAATTTTGCAGAGACCTACCATGCAGGACAGACTTATGAAATGGGCCATCAAATTGGCTTCTTTTGCTTTGCAACATTCCCCGTTAAACGTGGTCAAGGGTCAAGCAATAGCAGATTTTCTGGCGGAATTTTCAGAAGACAATCAAGAAGAAATCGAGTACATATCTTATGTGAGTACCCGAACTTGGTCAATGTTCTTTGATGGTTCTACTTCTGGAAATAGATCAGGTGCATGAGTCTTGTTAGAAGGACCAGATGGCCAAAAGATTAAGTTACAGCTTCAATTAGAGGGTATGACCACAATTCAGCAGAATATAAGGCTCTAATTTTGGGATTGGAAGCCCTAATAGCCAGGAATGTTCAGTCGTAGTCATAAGGGGAGATTCTCAATTGGTAATCAATCAGGTAACCAAACAATATGTTTGCAATTATCTCATTTACGTAGATACAGGGATGTTGTATATCGATTGTTATCAAAAATCTCAAAGGTGATGATTGAATTCATCCCTAGAAAAGAAAATCAACATGCAGATGAGTTAGCTCAAAAAGCATGTAAAGGAATCTCGAAAGAGATATGTGCAGAGATCGGGACGGAAACGGAAGATGTTTAGGGCCTAAGCAAGCCTTGAAAGTTATGACAGAAGTACATAGCGGGATCTGCGGAGCACATCGAGCAGGTTTGAATATGAGATGGGCTATTCACCGGTTGGGTTTCTTCTGGCCAAAGATCTTTGAAGATTATATACAATTTGCAAGAGGCTGCCAAGAATGTCAAAAACATGGACAGTTAAATCATTTGCCAGTCATTGAACTGCAAGCTATGGTACAACAGTGGCCCTTCAAGTTTTGGGACATGGACATCATTGGCAAAATACACCCTCCTTCATCCAAACATCATTGTTTCATTTTGGTTGCAATAGACTATTTCACCAAATGGGTAAAGGCAGTTGTTTTAAAAAAACGTGGATCAAAATGAGGTAATTGACTTTGTGCTGAATTAGATCATCTATAGGTATGGAATTCCGCATTCTTTAACCACTGATCAAGGTTTGGTCTTTACTGGGGAAAAGTTTATAAATTTCTTGGAAGAATTTGGTATTTGGATAAATCATTCATCATCTTATTATCCCAAGCTAATGGATAGGCAAAGGCAGCCAATAAGATTATTATTGGAATCATAAGGAAAATGGTTGAGGGGAATCCAAGAAAGTGGCACCTACTATTACCTTGGGCCTTATGGGCACACAGAAATAGCAGAAGCTCAACGACGGGGTTTTCACCATAACAACTTACTTTTGGACAGGATGCTGTGTTGACAGCAGAAATTCAGGTATCGTCGGGGAGTACAAGTTTTACTAATGGAGATTTCACTGAAGAATATCATCAAGTTATGTTGCAGCAATTGGAAAATTTGGATGTTAACTGACTCCATGCAATCGATCAGATTGTAAGGCAGAATGAGATCAGGGCAAAGTACTATGGAAAGAAGGTCTTTTACAGGACTTTCCGAGAAGGAGATTTGGTTTGGAAGACCATACTACCTATGTACAAGAAAATTGATCAATTTGGAAAATAGTCTCCGAACTGGGAAGGGCCATTTATTATTCTTAAGGAAATCAGAAAGGGTGCCTTTATTATAATAAATCATGAGCGTAAAAGAGTACATGATTGTATTAATGCTAGATATCTGAAGAGGTGTTTTTCTGCCTTTTCAGATAAGAAGAATGCATAAAACAATGGATTTATTCAGAACCCAAAGATAAAGGGTTCAAACCCAAGATATGGTTTATTCATTATCAGAAATTGAAATGTGTGGAGACCTTCATCTTCTGAATCAGAATCCTCATCCCAGTTGTTGGAAATTAACTCTCGTTCTTCATCAATCAGGTTTTCCAAATCAGGTCGGTATCGTTCTCATTGACTCTACATTTTTTCAAAGTCATGATTGGTACGAGCTTTCATGTATTTATTGTCTGGCGTTCGCGATCAACAAGAGTACGTATCTGGAGAAAATTGTTCTACGTGATCCCATCCGAGATCCGGAAGTATGGCTGTCACATGAAGTTCAATTAAGTCCATATGATGATTAATATCAGAGAGGCGGCTTAGGATGTTACGAAGAGTCTCGTATCCATCCAGGACATGTTCCATCAGATGAATAACACGATGAATGGTCTTTCTCCCTCGTTGGGAAAACCTGAATTTGAAATCCAGTTGTTTGAGTACATGTAACAAGTCTTCAGCATGACCACCGACAGAATGGCTACCCACGAAGAAGGGTTGAAGGGCACTTTCCCAGTTTTTCAAAGGAACATGGGCCCGATGTTGTGAAATTTTATTTATACCTCAGGTATGTTCCAATTTCAGAATTTTGAGGTTGTTTGTTTTATCACAGGGGGTAATAGTCTTTTATAAGGGAAAGTGAGGTTAATTTGGCTTCTGGGGGTTCGGAATATGGAAATTGATCCTTGTTAATAGGAAACAAAAATTGTTTACTAAGTCAAAATTTACATTAAGTTTTACATAAGGGCCCCTATGGCGATTTTTATCTGGGACCATTTTTCTTCGGCCCTGGATACGCATCGGTTGTCGGCAATGACCTGATATCGTTTAATAAATTGAGACCAGGCTTGAATCTTCAATTATTGATCCAAGTCGGCCTCGTTCTTCTAATATCTTTCAATCAGACGTTCGTCGGTTACGTGGTCCACAAGAACGGATTGCTCCGATGAAACACGTCCAGTTCTCCCTCATTCTTCTGGATGGATGCATCTCTGCTGGGATGGTTCGGCTGATAGGAGTCGGGCGAGTAGAATGTCATTTCAGAGCTCAGTTAGCCTCTCCATCAGCTAATGTAGAATTACGGCGGCCGTAGACTGAAAGAGTCTAAAATAATAAGCCACCAACCACCTGAATGAGACATTCAAAGGAATCTGATCAAAGTCGGAAAAGGGGAGGTTGACAGCCTGAGCGAAGGTTGCTCGGATATCCGCCGGAATCGGAACGGCCGACCACGTAGTTAGGTCAAGACAACCCTAGAAGAAGTTCAAAATTTTAAGTATGATAGGTAGGATGAATGGTAAGAGTTACTTGTGGGATTTTACTTACTTCCTGGCGGACCGTGGTCACAGAAGGCGCTAGGATTGCCATCCGTCGGGGAGGTCGGGCGGTTGGTACTTTGGCTGCCGACTCTGCGCCCACCGACAGTGGTCCTTGCAGTCCTGAGGCCCTGAAATTAAAATATAGAATATTTTAGTATTTAACTAAATCTATATGTGCGTGTAAGGAAGGTTCGAAGATCTTACACCTCTGTCAGATTGTTGTTAACAGAGGCTTCCGACTCAGAAGAAGAAAGTTCTTCTATATCGAGTGGGAGACCTCCTGGACGGATGGCAGCAAGTGATTCTGCTGCATGCGCTGCCGCCTCCGGCGGTGGAATGGCTGCAGCGGGGGCAGCTAGCTCTTCAAGTGAATAAGAGGAATCAGCGATTTCCGTTGGTAGTACGGCCATCGGTTGAGCAGCCGCCTCGATGTCTGTTGAAGCTACTGCCGCCTCCGGTTCGGTTGGTGATGGCGTCTACAATAAATATATCAGATGTCTATTCAAAGTATGGTGTGTAAAGTTGTTAAGTATTGGGTGTTTGAAAAAATTTACTGGATCCCTTAGGGGTGTCGGCAGAGATTGCCTCCTGGTCGGGTCCCCTTCCCGACCACTCACTGGCAAAGAAGGAAGGGACTGCCTCCTAGTCGGGTCCTCCGCCCGACTGATCATCGGCAATGCAGGCGTTGTTGGTTGGACTTGGACGGGAGGAACCTATGATGGAACAACATAAGTCAATACATGAGGAGTTATGAATGTGAGAGAAAATGGTAATATAAGTCGATTACTTGAGGCTGATAAGTTTGAAGGTTTGGTTGGTTGGCCGGGGTAGAGGCCGGTTGATCGGTGGGTGCTGCCGGTGTCGGATCTGATATGAAGAAAAATGTAAGTTAGAGAGTTAAGGAATATTAAGGTGATTAAAGACTTTTGGCACGTACCTAGGTGGGGTCGGATCTTTATGAAAAATGTAAGTTAGAGAGTTAAGGAATATTAAGGTGATTAAAGAATTTTGGCACGTACCTAGGTGGGGTCGGATCTTTATGGGCATCCAAGCCATCAGGTAGTCCTCAGCGGCTTGTTGGTCTGCTCCTGAGGTCAGGACTGCCTGCATCTGATAAGCTTTTCTCTTTCTCTTTGGGGCACTTGAGCCGGCACCCGGGGCGGCTGTCTTTTTTCAGGCGCTTATGGGTCGGGCCGCCCCCAACATCAAGGCAGACTGGGGCAGGAGAACAACCAGCAACCGATCCTTCTCAAGGGCAAGCAGGGCCCACGTGACCGACCACCAGTCACGGAAGGTCTCTACGATTTCGGGGGAGGAATGGAAATGAATGTAAGAGTTGGAAGTTATATAAGTGGCGAGTTGGGTAAGGTAAGAAGGAATGAGTTCGGGAATGACCCGCCCGTCCGGACTTTGAGGAATAAGGTGGGGACAGGCGACAGGGCCAGGTAAACCTTGGCGGCAGCCGAATTGGCATGCCAAAAATTGGGGCTAATAACTAAAAGTGTAAAATAATTTTTGGCCTTTTTTATCAAATTTTTTACTAACAAATAAAGACCTGGATTTGAGGGCAGAATCCCAGGAGAAGGGATAGGTCGGATGAGAAAGAGGATCAGGATCGGCCATGGGCGAAGGAACAGGGAATGGCCAGAAGGGACCAACCACATAGCAGGCATACTTCCTATATACATAAAAATGGGAGTTGCTGCGGTCGTCGGCTAGGATTGCAGAAATGATGGGGTCGGATGACTGGAGGTGGCCATGACCTAGACAAAGTCTGCTAAGGGCTAATCCTAAAGAATGGTCGGGTGTTGGAGTTATGGGCGGACGACCAAGTTTGAACGCGTCAGGAAAGTAAAGACAGAACCAAAGTTCTAGAAAACAAAAAGGGCCTGACGCGGTGGTATCTAGTTTTTTACTATCACTATCTACAAGACGGGTGCTAACCCTGGAAAGACCTTCAAAAAGGTTGGCAAGGAAAAGAGTGCCAAGAGAAAAGAAACGACCTAAGGCTAAATGGATAGCTAGATCAAGATGTGAGGAAAGGACACATTTGGAGGGGGAGACTATGACATACCTACATAGCCAGAAGATGAGGAAGGCGAAATGCTCATGATTGGTCACTGGGGTCCCTGTTGTCCCTTGCTGGTCGGTTGCGAATTTCATTCAGCCCCATTCTTTCACTCCAGCCAGTGAACAGCCCAGGTGATTTGCTACTGGCTCCTGCCTGTCTAGGACGCCCATCACTGGGTCCTCACCCACGATAGGTAGATGGGCAATCATAGCCACATCCATAAGGGTCGGCCCGATGGCAGGAAAAAGACTCCAATCTCTGAGTGCTAGAAGGCCGACATAGCCAAAAGCACATTTTCGTGCAGATGAAATGGAAGAGTAGAAAGGAGTATGGCCTGATCGATGTGTTGGCGTTTCCATTGCTCCTGAAAGCGCTCAGCCACCCTATTGTACCAAGTGCGGTAGGGTTCTTCGGGGTCAGTCAGGTGGGTTTTGATGTTGTCGTTTATACGAACAACATTGTAGGTGGATTTGTTGATGGCAAGGGAATTCCCTGCTTCTAGTACCTTCCTCATCCGATCGGAGTCCTCAAGAGTAGTACAGTATGGGCTAACAGTTGGGGTCAGCACCTTCAACGCAATAAATGGAACCTCTGGGTCGGTTCCATCAAAAGGAAGTGGGGGTACGTATTGGTTGGCCATGGATTTGGAATTACAGGAAGGAGATGGTAGCAACGGTGAAGGAGAAGAGAGGTTTTCTCTGAAAATTTTTTGCGATAATGGATGCATGAAGTTGTACAATGTTGATGGAAAGGTTTTTAAGGGGAATGGGGGTAATGATTTTGGAATGGGGTATTTAAAACCCCATTGATGTGACTGGAGACAGAGTTAGGCCGGCACTGTTGCATAGACTGCAGACTCCCAAATGTCTTGTCATATGGAGATCAAGGAGTGACGTTTGGGAGTCAGGTGGCGGCGGGCAATTTGTTGAGTATAAAATTTATAATTAGGGTGGTGGCCCAAAATAAGAGGGAAAGTGGGCCCGTCATTGGGCCCATCAGGTGGCCAAGGGTTATCTGGGTGGATGGTTCGGAGGCAAGGCGGTCGGTTGGTTAGCCGCCCGTCTTGAGAAGGCAGGACGGTTGTGGAAGTGAGTCGACGGGAGTGGTCGGTTGGGCGGTCGAATTCGATAACTGACAGGAACGGTTGGTGGACGGTTAAGGCACATGTCAGTAGGAGATTAACATTGGGGGCAGTTGGTGGCAGCTGTGGTAACCGATCAGGTGAACGCTTGGGGCAGTTGGTGGCAGTTGTGGCAACCGACCAAGTGACGTTTCGAGACGTTTTCGTAGGAGTTATTTAATCATTGAGGGGGTTCAAAAATAAGGATGATCTTCAATCAAACAAAATTAATTAAATATTTTCTGTTGGGGGTCACCTTTTATTTTTCATCCATTTATCATTTCATTCTACATACAAGTTAATTATTCAAGTTCGATATTATTTTCGAACTTTACTGTGTATTGTTGAAAAACCATCAACAATATTTAACTGAAACAAAGAAACTACAACCAATCAATTTACTACATTTCAATTTCAGCATTTTCTTTATTTTCTTATTAGAAAGTTAATTCAAATACAAAATTTCATGTCCAAAATGCAAGGTGTGTTTGTTTTGTGAAATTGTTTAAACTAATTTTTTTAAAATATAGAGGATTGTGTAATAATATAAAATAATGAATATACGTAAAATATAATTTTTTTGTGGAAAATATATATGTTTATTTTATTAAAAAAAAAAACACACCCCGAAGTTCATTTGATTTAGTTTTAAAAGAAAAAAAAAAACCAAAAGTAGAATTAATTTAATTTTATATTTGAAAGATTATTTATAAATGCAGTTTTTATTTATTTATTTTGAATGTAACAAAATTGAAAATACTTTTAATTGTCAAAATTGCTATGAAAAAAAAAACCTAAAAAATAAGGTGCGTTTCAATTTCAATTATATTTTTAATTTTATAATTTAATTATATTTTTAAATTTTACTTTAAGTATAATATATAAATTAAAAAAAAAAGGAAAATTGCTTTAAATTTTCTAATTAAAAAAATATAAATTAATTATCTTTATTTATGGTATATTATTTATATTTATTATTATTATTATTATTATTATTATTATTATTATTATTATTATTATTATTATTTAGGGATAAATTAATAACTTTTGGTTAAAGTTCTTCAATTTTTTGTGTAAGTAACCAAGTCGCTTCTCAAAATAGTATTTTTCGATCCTAAAAATTGCTTCTTTGTTTTTATTAGAATTCAATCCAAGCATAATTAAGAGTCCTTTTTTATTAATTTAAAAAATAAATAAAAATTAAAAATAAAAGCAAAGTCAAAAGTCAAAAGTTGAAGCCACTTGATTTTATGTTTGCATGAATTTTTATAAAAGTTTTTTTTTAAAAAAATAAAATAAAATAATACTCTCTTTGTTCGGTATAAGATGATTTTTTTGTTACGATATTTTAAATAGTATAATTTAATAAATTCACTATAATACTTATTATATTTTTTTTAATTTTTTTATTTTTATGTAAGTGGTGTTTTTATTATTTTTAAAATAAAAATTAATAGATATAATTAAAAAAAATTAAGATTGATATTTAAATATTTTAAATATTATATCTCAATATAATATATATAATATGATATCACTTTTTAGAGAATAAAATTTTATATATTATATATAAATAAAAAGTATAATTATTTATATATAATTAAAATAAATTAATTTTATAAAAAAAAATGGGTAATTTCAAATATAGATAAACATATTTGTTTATTGAGGAGAAAAATAGAAATAAAGAGGTTTTGAATGAGAACGCATCTATAAGATATTTAAAATTTAATTAAATTGATTTATATTTGTTAAAATTTAAAATTGTTAAATTTACCAAAAAATATAAAAAAGAGTGTCTTCTGTGAGACGAACTAAAAATAAAAATAGGTTATTTGTGGCGGATAGATGAAGTATTTAGAAATAATAAGATAGAGAATACTCCGTCCGTGAGATCTTATGTATTCATTTATTTTTTGCACGTCAATTTAGGATATTAGTTTATATATATATAGATAGATAAGAATAAACTAGAAAGATAAAAATTCATTTGCTTTTTAGTGGGCATTGTTAGTAATATTGTGTGAAATGTAGGTTTCTTTATTCAAGTAAAAATTGCTTTTACTAAAAAGAAACAAAAATAAAAATAAGAAAATGGATATATTTGAGTTTGAGAGACGAAAATGACAAAATAGTTACATCTAATTGGGATCGATAAAGTATTTAAAATTTTATCTTAATATAAATATATTTTTCTATCAATTTTTTTTAATTTATTTAAAAATTATAAAATATATAACAAAAATACTATTATTTTTTTACACATTTCTACTCACTAATAAAATAATATTCTTTTTTAATATACTACAAAACTTGTAATAGCCTTTTCGAATGGGATGAAAAGTGTATTTGTTGGACCCCAAGTCCAAATGAGTCAAAGCTAAAGGTAACGACTTCTATCAGGTTGCGGAGCTTCCATGGAGTAAGAGGGTATAACTTCCACAGACCTTTAGACAACAAGTTTCATCAACCCTGGGTTGGAAACTTCATAACATTAATAGAAGACCCTAGCACCTCATGTCCTATATGGAAGGTTCTATGGGTCAACCAAAGAAAGAAGAATAAGGATTTCATGTAACTCGACGTTGTTGGGGACATATCCCTGTAGACCGGCTAAGGAGTATGATGGAAGCAAGTCAAGGTAAATTGTAGGTCTAATCCAGCGGCAATGGAAGAAATTCAGAGCGAATGGAACCCGGTCCAGAAACAACGAAAGATGTTCAAAGCGAATGGAACCCGGTCCAGAGATGATGGAAGCGGTTGGGAGCTGATGGAAGGAGGTTACCTTGCGGTTGAGAGAGGTGGAAGAATAATGGGAACTGCCCATTTTTGTAGAAGAGGTGGTTATGCTAGTTTAGGATTAAAATTAGGAAAAAACACAAGACACACACACACAACCAGATCAAATCGTCTATTTCT